GAGTACTCAAACTAGACTTCACTGTGTCATGCAACGGTTGAAGGCCAACTTCCTGCGACGGAACCCCACGTACAACCAACCAGTCCCGCTGATGGACGAAGTACGCCAGGAAGTGGTGGCCCAACTGTATGCAAGCTTGGAATGGTCGGGCCATCTTCGGCAACCACCCGGACTTCATCCTGGAATCAGACGCGAATCGACTGGGATGGGGAGCCACGGATGGAGAAGCATCCACGGGAGGAACGTGGACAACCCAAGAACTCTCGATGCACATCAACTGCCTGGAGCTACTAGCAGGGTCATTTGCTATATGCAGCCTAAGGAAAGGACAATCCAACTGTTGTATACTTCTATGGATGGACAACATATCGGCAGTACAGTACATCAATCACTTGGGAGGTACCCGATCACAAACACTGGTGAATTTGACGAAGGAAATCTTCGACTACTGCCTCCTGCGCAACATCACGATACGCGCAGAACACTTACCAGGGGAGTCAAATCTTACAGCAGACTGGTACTCCCTACACTGGAGAGACGCCAGCGACTGGCAATTGAACTCGCAGATCTTCGCCTACCTGAACAAACAGAAAAGATCGTTCCTACTGGATCTGTTTGCTTCACGCAACAACCACCAAGTACCACAGTTCTACAGCTGACTCCTAGACCCGGAATGCCTGGCGGTGGACGCTTTCACCCAACACTGGCCAGCACAAGGGGCTTATGCCTTTCCCCCATTCGCCATGGTTGCGAGGGTTCTCCACCACATCTGCAGATGAGTAGTGAGACTAACCCTCCTGATGCCTCTCTGGCCGAGCCAATCCTGGTTCCCAGACATTCTCGAATTGTCTTGCCAAGACCCGATTCTACTGCCGAACGATGACAACCTACTCAGGGACCCAGCGGGGAACCCACACCCGATGCTGTTGGACACCTATCCTTGGTAGCCTGGATTCTTTCAGGGGAGCATGGTGTACCAACGACTTATCATCAACAACTAAGGACCTCCTATGGGACTCTTGGGCCCCTGGAAAACGAAAGAGTTACTCATCCGCATGGCGATCTTGGACCAGTTGGTGCATGGGACGGGACCTGGATCCCTTTACAGCCCCTGTTTCAGATATCATGACTTTCTTCTCGTCGGTCTTCGAGGAAGGCAAATCGTATTGCACCATCAATGTTATCAGACTGGCTATCTCAGCAGCCCATGTACCATCCAAGGGAAGAGCTGTCGGACAGGACCCTCTGATATGTTGACTACTACGGAGCATCAAATTAAGACGCACCTAAATACCAACACCTATGGGATGTGGATGTTCCATATCTCACGATGGACTAAATCCGACTCATCATCACTATTCTACCCATTCTTCAACTCGGACCCTCAACTTTGTGTGGTTAAGACTCTCCGGGCATATGTGGCGGCAACGGAGACGTTATGCCCACCGACAGCACGACAACTATTGGTGTCATATGTTAACCCGCACGGTCCGGTTTCGGTCAACACACTGGCCAGATGGATCAAATGGCTCCTCTCCCTAGCCAGTATAGACTCTTCCTTTGGAGCACACTCCATGCGAGAGGAAGCGGCATCATCACCTTTCCTGGCAGGCGCATCCCTATCAGATATATTACAAACGGCGGACTGGTCCCGCGAATCAACGTTTCGGACTTTCTATTTCCGTCCATCGTCCAATGCCGCATTCACTCTTCTACCTAAGCGTTAACATTGCAAAATATAAAGCCTCCTGTCATGTTATAAAATTGAAGATTATGCTAGCGCAGTGTACTAATAATCTTAATTTTAATAATGACAGGAGGCAAGTATTTTCCCTTCCCTTCTTCTTGACGTTCCCACCCAGATGGAGGTAAGTTAAGGTTATAAGTTTAACTCCAGTATTTAACTTTATGTACTGATATATATTCATGGTGGGGAGTATCGTTGTCTCTAGCATTGTGGATTGATTCGGAGCAATAACATCTTATGGGTAGTCGAGTATAGTCTTTGGAGACTTTATATACATACATTTATCAGAATCCATACAGATGATCAAACGGCTACTAGATGCATACTTGCAAGAAGAGAATATTCAAGGATATAATCTTTCAATGTAGGGTAATAACTGCTTGATCCAAGGATAAATCTGACTGCCATTCTGGGGTCAAGAAGGAATTTTTTTCCTAGCTTGTTGCAAAATTGTGCTTCAAACTGGGGTTTTTTGCCTTCTTTTGGATCAACAGCAAAAAACAAATGTGAGGTAGGCTGAACTTGATGGACGCAAGTCTCTTTTCAGCTATGTAACTATGTAACTATGTAACTATGTAATTTGCTTCATACGGTCTGTTCCGTATCACTGATACTAGTCTCTCTTTCTTTTCAGTTTAACAAGTCTTATGTATGATGGAGAAGACTGTATTCCTTATTGGTTTCCACATTGGATTAAGTTGGATCAAGTTAAATCGGACACGTTTGTTATACTATGAACTTGTGATGTCGCAATCAGTCAAGAGGAAATGATTGGTCATGATTGGACTTATATACTCTCTGACTCACTCTGATTGGTTCTTTCTTTTAACAGTTTTTTATTTGCTGCTATGGAGTTAGTAAAGAAAGTTAATGCAAAATGCTCACCTCCTGACAGGGTTGGTAACCACAGGACACACAATAGGCTTAGTGTAGTCAAACTTGAACCTGTACGTCGATTATCCATATCAATTGGATGGGTAATTGTGGAACAAGCTCTAGCCAGTTAACACTTTCATATCTGACTGTAGCTAAAATTTAGGCTGATTTTAAAGGATCTTCTAAAAGCGACACATACTCTCAAAGGGGGAAAGTGTGCTCAGAGAGGAAAAAAATTATACATTAAATTTCTGCATCATAAGCATCTTCACCAACATAACCATATACATTTGTTATTCATTCTATAAAAAAACACAAGGGCAGCAACTTGAAGCCAACAGCAGTTAGCACAATAAAAGGCAATAAATGGTTATCACTCCCAGGTGCACAGTTCAGCATCTATGCATTCGTCTTGCAATATGTTTACTTTAATCTATATTTTAATGTGCTGCTAGAGTAAATGCCAGGACATTTAAATATGCTGTCTTTAAAGGTATGCTATGATCACATAATCACACATTAAAGCCTCTCTGCATTTTCCAGCTAACCAGGATTTGCATATATGTATATACAAAGAAGGAAAAATATATATATCAGCACAACGTATATTTTCATTTTATCTACCTGTGGGCTCCATGTTGAAGAGGCTAGTGAAAAGTCATAAATTAATGTTTATCAGCATTTATGATACATTGCCTGAGGCTTATGTGGCATCCTTATTTCTGGAGAAGCAGTCTCCATTACATATCCACAAGGTTGTTCACTTAACACCGGAGGACAAAATCTAGTGAAAATGGCCAAATTCTGGCCGAGTCGCAATTCTCTTTACTAAAGCTAATTCCGGTTAAAATTAGGCCAAGCTGCCTGAATTTGTACCAGTTGGCTAGATGCATTAGGTGTGCATTTTAAAATCAACGCTTTTCACATCTGAACACTATATAAAGGATTTGTCATATTTATTAAGCAACAATTTAAAAAATGAATTCTGGGCTGAATGTACCTTGCTGTATTTCGCATGGACGGTATAATCCCCGTCTAAGGATGTTTGACGGTATAGACAATGCCGGTGCTCCAAACGAAGGTGCTTAAGCAAAGTTCTATTAATAGCCCACCATAGCAAGAGAAAAGAAAGCCAAGGATTGACTGTAATATCCCAGAGGAGACCAGAAGATGTAGAAGATCTCTAAGCAAAATTTTCAAAGGAAAATCAGAGATACGTATTAACCTCTTAACGGGGGCAACTGTACACATTCTGATCGAAACAAAAATCTGTGAGAGCGATTGCATGGCACTCAGGGGCCTGATATGTCAGAGGGGGACAGCCTGGGCTGCAAGACAGTCCCCCTGAAGCAGAGCACTGGGATGGTGAGTACTCTCGAGGCTCCAGGGATGAAAGGCGCTACGGCGTTCTATGCCACTGCAACAGCTTTAAAGCCCATTATTATTTTATTATTTATATAGTGTAGCCCGTGAAGTTACACAGGCTGCATTATCTGAAATGCCCAGTAGATGGCACATGGACTCAGTATGCTGTTAATAAAACATTGAGCTTTGATCACATGACTTGCTGAAATCAAGAGAGGAGTGTGGCATCATCGCAGGGCCTGTCAGGACTTCCTGCACAGCTCTGAGGGAGGAGGATTCTAAGAGTGACCACATGCTGAGCCAGAGAGAGGACATGTGAGAGACTGTAGCACAGAGATAGGACCTGGCTGAGAGAACTTGTTTCACCCAAGATCACACCAGCTGAGAGAGGGACCTGCAGGAAAGGAAAGAAGACAAGCACTGAGTCCAGACGTCTGGCGAATCCAGTGAGAGGAGACTGCTGCTGACTGACTGGTTAATCGTGTTGTGAGGGTAAGCCAAGCCTCTCCCTGTATCGCCACAGGGCACCTGTCTCCTCACTCACAGTAAAGACTCTGAGGTCCCGTGACGGACATTACACATCTGAGGCTGCTTCAGTGACCCTGTGAAGCAGGACTTATAAGGGCCCCAACTCTCCTATGTGCACCAACGGCCGCTAGGGCGAAGATAAGGGGGTGGGGCGCAGGTGTGCTGGTGGGTGAGTGAGGAAAATCCCCATTTGCATTGTTATCTGTGTTACTCTATTGTATTTTCCTATGTATGTTGGTTCAATTGCTACTTACCATATAAAGTTAGTCCCAGTTAGACTGTGTCAGTCTCATTGCACCAAGTATGTTCCCAGTGGGACCCCACATCCCTACCCCGGATGCTCCACTGGGTGGAGGCACTGCCGCAGACATGTACCCCAGCTCCCAGATAGCGGAGGCTCAGGATCCGCCTGTCAGGCATAGTGAGTTAACTAGGTTTGGGGACCCCAAAGACACTAGGGGGCACCCCCAAAACCCCGTTACAGATGGAGGCACTGCTGAGATGTATTGGGGTACAACCAGTGAGAATAGGTTAAGTCCTCAGGCCACTCCCTCCTTTGTGAAACAGTGGGCCCAGCAAAGAAATGTACCATTACAGCAAGCTGTGATGTTATGCAAAGTCCCATCCTGCTGTGAGATGAATCACGTCATCTTGTGTATAGAAATTCGACTGGGAATAGAAATGGCGACCATCAGAGATATCCTGCAGGATTCTGAAGGCCAAACTTACATGTTAATATATTGTCATACGGGCTTGGGAGACCATGAGATGCCTACCAACATTCATTTACATGGAGCCCCGGATGGAGGATGCTCCTTAGTGTACGCTCTCCTTGATAAGAAAGAAAGGGTCTCACTGCAACAACCCTTTAAATTAGAACGGAAAGATTATGTCACAGAAAATTATTCTAAGCTCCTGACCCCCATCTCCGGAAAGGCCGGAGCCATTCCTAAACAAGCTGCCCATCCTCCTAGAGGACAGGGGATGATTACTCCTAAAGCAGAATCTCATCCATCTACAGCATTACTGAAACCAGACAACCCTGAAGTACACACCCTGCCTACAGGAGGTAGTGATGTATCGGACATACTACAGAAACTCTCAGAAGCCATAGTGACGGCAAACCACACCCATAGTTACCACAAACTAAAGGTGTTTTCTGGGAATCAGCCTGTTCCTGCAGGAGAAGAGCCTTTTGAGGTCTGGAAGGATAATGCTATGCAGTTGTTGGAGGAATGGTCTTGTACGGATACCATAAAGAAACAGCGGTTGGTGGAGAGTCTTCGTTTTCCCGCTACAGACATGATAAGACTGTACAAGGGAGTAAATGGGCAAGCTACTGCGCACGACTATCTACAAGTTTTACAGGATGCTTATGGGAAATCAGAAGATTTGGATGATCTGTTGGTTAAGTTCCTAGCCACTAAGCAGAAGGAGCACGAAAAAGCCACTGACTATATCAACCGGTTACAGCTATCGCTTGGAAAGTTATTCCATAAAGGAGCAGTCACTGCCTCTGAGTTGGATGCTCGGCTATCTAAGCAAATTCAGAGAGGTGGTTTGACCAGTAATCCAGTTATGATTCTGCTGAGAGCCAAGTTGGATGATAAAGTTCTGCCTTATTCCACATTAATAAATACAGCCAGGAGATTGGAAGACCAGATGTGTCCACCCCTACAGAAGGAGAAAGAGAATACAGAACTGTCAGCTCTTAGGAAGAAGGTGGCTGAATTGGAGCTTTTATGCAAATCACCACCAGAGAGAGCAGATCTTCCCCCTGGAAGTGGGGGGCAACACAGGAAGACTCAGAAAAAACTGTTTCCTGAGGATTCACCCCGCCAAGGGAACTGCTTTAAATGTGGAAAGTCAGGGCATTTTCAGCGGGAGTGCCCTGCGGATTCCATGGAGGTGGATGTGGGGGTGCTGGCAACCGAGCTTGGGGAGACTCAAATGACCAGGTCTTACAAGCGAAGGAAGACCCGGCCTACATATAGTCTATCTGTAGGGGCCAAGATTGGGCCTAAATCTTTGATACACGTGCAAGTGGAAGGAATTCATGCTTCAGCATTGCTAGATACAGGTTCTCAAGTCACCATTATCTACAGAGACTTCTATGAACGTCATTTGAAACACATTCCTATGGAACCTGCAGGAGAGTTTCAGCTATGGGGCGTTGGGTCTCAAGCTCAACCTGTGGAGGGATGCATAAAAGTGACCATAACTATTCCCCAGTTAAATACCGGGATGATATGTCCTATGGAGCTGGAAGCTTTGATATGCCCTGCAGCCAAGAAAGTGTGTGCCCCAATAATATTGGGTACTAATGCAAAGATGGTACAGGATGTATTCAGGGCCTATCTGACAGAAGTGGGAGATGTCTCCTTAGACCGACTGATGGAGGTCAGCCCTGTCCTAGGAAAAGAGTGTCGACGACTAGCCCTTGCAACAAAACCAGGGTTGTGCCACTATTCAGGAACAGAACCTGCATTTGTGAAGCCTGGTGAGACCAAAACCTTACGAGCCATAGCCTCAATGCACCATGAAATGTTGGGGGGAACTGGACAATACCTTATTGAGTCTCTGCCTGAAGAGGATCAGAAGAAGGGGTGGACTCTCATACCTGAGATAAAAGATTGGCGAAAAAGGTGGTGTCGGAGTTTTCCTGTGATGGTACAGAATTTAACCCCCACGGAAATCCGGATTGATCGTCATCAGAAGATTGGTGTAATACACCTTTTAGATCAAGTTTCGTCCATCATGTCTGTGAGTGCAGAACAGACGGATCATGTGAAAGCACCTTTAGATTTTGATCTAGAAGATTCTCCCCTACCACAGCAGTGGAAAGACAGCCTTCGTTCAAAACTGGCCACCCAAGAGGGAGTGTTCTCCAGAGCAGAGATGGACGTGGGGTGTTCTAAGAGTGCCACCCATGCTATAAGACTTGCTGATCCTACTCCTTTCAGAGAAAGGTCAAGAAGAATACCCCCTCGAGATGTGGAAGATGTCCGGGACATACTCCAGCAGATGGAAGGAGCAGGCATCATCACAGAGTCCCGGAGCCCCTATGCCTCACCTATTGTGGTAGTGAGGAAAAAGAATGGTTCAGTTCGGCTATGTGTGGACTACCGTACTCTGAACAAGAGGACTGTGCCAGACCAGTACACCTTGCCCCGGATAGAAGATCTTCTGAACGCCCTATCTGGCAGCCAGTGGTTCAGTGTGCTTGACTTGAGGTCTGGATATTATCAGGTACCCATGAAGAAGGAAGATCAGGAAAAGACAGCTTTCATCTGCCCTTTGGGGTTCTTCCAGTTTACCAGAATGCCACAGGGAGTCACAGGAGCTCCTGCTACTTTTCAGAGGCTGATGGAGAAAACTGTGGGGGATATGAATCCCAAAGAGTGTCTAGTGTATCTAGATGACCTAATTGTTTTCGGGAAGACACCAGAGGAGCATGAACAAAGATTGCTAAAGGTGTTGGATCGACTTCAAGCTGAAGGCCTGAAGCTATCAGTGGACAAATGCCGATTTGCCCAGAACTCTGTCACTTATGTGGGGCACATAGTCTCCGCTGAAGGAGTAGCCACAGATCCTGCTAAAATTGAAGCAGTGCTGAATTGGCCAAGACCAAATAACATCGGTGAGTTGCGGTCCTTTCTCGGATTCTGTGGTTACTACCGAAGGTTCGTGAAAGACTACTCAAAGATTGCTCGAGAGTTACATGACCTGCTTAAGATTATCTCTGACGTAAAGGGTGTTAAGGCACCATATCCTAAAGACCCCTTTGGAGAGAAATGGACTTCAGGATGTGAAGATGCCTTTCTGACGCTGAAGAAGAGACTTACAGAAGCTCCTGTCTTAGCCTATGCAGACCCTGAGAAACCATATATCCTCCATGTGGATGCCAGTATGGAAGGCCTAGGGGGTGTACTGCACCAAAGTTATCCAGCAGGATTGAGGCCGGTGGCTTACATAAGTAGGAGTCTTACAGGTGCAGAGAAGAACTATCCAGTCCATAAATTGGAATTTCTGGCACTCAAGTGGGCCATCGTGGATAAGCTGCATGACTATTTGTATGGGGCAACATTCGAAGTAAGGACTGACAACAATCCACTTACCTACATCCAGACTACAGCTAAGCTGGATGCTACAGGACATAGGTGGTTGGCTGCCTTGTCAAACTACAGTTTCAGCCTGAAGTACAAGCCTGGGCCCAAGAATGTCAGCGCAGATGCCCTGTCCCGCAGACCTAGACTCCCCCCTCACCAAGAAGAAGAGGAGTGGGAAGAGATCCCTGGGCCGGGGGTAGGAGCCTTTTGTCAGATGTATGTGGTGGCCGAGAGTCAAGAAGAATTTGCCGAGCTAAGAGGGATAGACTCCATTAGCCACTCTCCCGAAGCTGTGCCTGAGGTGTTCCATGCTCCAGTCATGCTTCAACAGTGGTCCAGTATAACCACAGAAGACAAGAGGAAGGCTCAAGCGCAGGACTGGTATATTGGGATAGTTATCAGAGCAATAAAGACTAAGAATCCTAAATTGCTGACTTCTCTACCTGTGAATCAAAGAGAATTATACCGAAGAGAATGGAGCCGACTACATCTCGAAGATGGAGTACTCTATAGGGTCGTGAAGTATCATGATCACCCTGACAGAAAACAATTGGTACTACCGCACCGATACCGTGGCATGGTCCTGAGAGCTCTCCACGATCAACATGGGCATCTCGGGGTGGACAAGACCTATGGCCTAGTACAAGATCGGTTCTATTGGCCTCGCATGAGGGAACATGTCGAGCAACATGTAAAGACATGCAGGAGGTGTATCCAGAGGAAGACCCTGCCTGTGAGAGCTGCCCCTATGGGTCATCTGAAAAGTACGGGACCCATGGATCTTGTGTGCATGGACTATCTCTGCATTGAGGACGATACAGCGGGAATTGGAAATGTGCTGGTGGTAACGGACCACTTCACCAGATATGCTCAAGCTTTCCCCACTAAAGACCAAAAGGCTGTGACTGTAGCCAAAGTCCTTTGGCAGAAGTATTTTATTCACTATGGACTACCCAATCGGCTACACTCTGATCAAGGTAGAGACTTTGAGAGTAAGTTGATAAAGGAGCTGTTAGGCATGTTGCAGGTGCAGAAGTCCAGAACCACACCTTATCATCCGGAGGGTGATGCACAGCCAGAACGTTTCAATAGGACCCTCCTAGATATGCTAGGGACTCTCAAGCAAATCGAGAAGCGGTCTTGGAGTAAACATGTGGAAACCATGGTCCACGCATACAACTGTACAAGGCATGAATCTACAGGGTTCTCACCCTATTTCTTAATGTTCGGAAGAGAAGCTCGATTGCCGATAGATGTCCGGTTGGGAGTGTCTCCTGATGGAACAGATTCAACTTCACACTTTCAATATGTGAGGAACCTCAAACAAAACCTTCGTCGGGCCTACGAGTTGGCCACCCAAGCTGCAGCAAAAATGGAAGAACGGAACAAAAGAAGATATGATGCTAAGGTGAGATATCGGGAGATTCAAGCAGGGGATAAAGTTCTTCTCCGGAATCTAGGTGTGCCTGGAAAACACAAACTGGCTGACAGATGGAAAGATACCCTGTTTGAGGTTGTGTCCAAACTGGAAGGACTGCCAGTGTACAACATTCGGGGCCCGGAGGGCCGAATAAAGGCTTGGCATAGAAACCATCTGCTTCCAGTTGTGTATACTGATGAAGAGGAAGAGAGTAGTGAAGAACTGGAGGAAACCCCAGCAGAGAGTCCTGGAAATGGGGCAGAGGAGACCCCGGGAACTCCCAGTGCAGAGGATCAGTGGTGGTCATCACCCGCTGAAGAAACACAACAATTGCCTCCTTTAACTCCTGTGGTTTCACAAAGTCCCGGAACCTCTCCTGGGTCACAAAGTTCTCCAAGGTTGAATCCAGAAAGTCCCTGTTTTGTGCCTGGAACTTCCCTTAAAAACTCTACTTCGAGGGCAGGAGTCGAAGTTCCACAGTTGATGTCCCAAGATCCTCTCCCCCAGCGAGAACTGAGACACAGCACCAGAGTGCGGCAACCCCCTAGGGCCCTAGTTTATGATAATATAGGAGAGCCCAGTTATGCCCCGCTGACACAAGCAGCATTTAAAATGGCCACTTTCCTACATGCACTAGCTGAAGTGGTAAATGTTAGTGACTGTTTACCCTAAATAAATAACTAGCTAGCTAGGATGTTACTGTGCGAACTGTACTGTAGGTATGCTAAACCTTTTTCTGTTGAATTTTTGTTAAGCTCCCTGGCTAGGACTTGCCAGTGGAAGGCAAGTATTTTCAAGGGGGAGCATGTAGCCCGTGAAGTTACACAGGCTGCATTATCTGAAATGCCCAGTTTGCTGTTAATAAAACATTGAGCTTTGATCACATGACTTGCTGAAATCAAGAGAGGAGTGTGGCATCATCGCAGGGCCTGTCAGGACTTCCTGCACAGCTCTGAGGGAGGAGGATTCTAAGAGTGACCACATGCTGAGCCAGAGAGAGGACATGTGAGAGACTGTAGCACAGAGATAGGACCTGGCTGAGAGAACTTGTTTCACCCAAGATCACACCAGCTGAGAGAGGGACCTGCAGGAAAGGAAAGAAGACAAGCACTGAGTCCAGACGTCTGGCGAATCCAGTGAGAGGAGACTGCTGCTGACTGACTGGTTAATCGTGTTGTGAGGGTAAGCCAAGCCTCTCCCTGTATCGCCACAGGGCACCTGTCTCCTCACTCACAGTAAAGACTCTGAGGTCCCGTGACGGACATTACACATCTGAGGCTGCTTCAGTGACCCTGTGAAACAGGACTTATAAGGGCCCCAACACTCCTATGTGCACCAACGGCCGCTAGGGCGAAGATAAGGGGGTGGGGCGCAGGTGTGCTGGTGGGTGAGTGAGGAAAATCCCCATTTGCATTGTTATCTGTGTTACTCTATTGTATTTTCCTATGTATGTTGGTTCAATTGCTACTTACCATATAAAGTTAGTCCCAGTTAGACTGTGTCAGTCTCATTGCACCAAGTATGTTCCCAGTGGGACCCCACATCCCTACCCCGGATGCTCCACTGGGTGGAGGCACTGCCGCAGACATGTACCCCAGCTCCCAGATAGCGGAGGCTCAGGATCCGCCTGTCAGGCATAGTGAGTTAACTAGGTTTGGGGACCCCAAAGACACTAGGGGGCACCCCCAAAACCCCATTACAATAGCACCAGCAAAATTCCGTAGCGCATTAAATGTGGGATGGCATAGAACACCATAATGGCAGAAAGGTTTAGATTATATATTGGGAATATGTTGGTAAATTTACCCTGTCTTTTCCACTTATCGAGGGCTTATGTCACATCTAAAGAAATTAAAACTAACTCTTATTGGTTTATATTTCTCAATGGTTTATATTGACCAAAGTTATCAATTTCAAATGGCATTCATTACCATCGAAGTGCGTATAGTTTGCTGCAATCATGACCATATTTCCATTTGTGCCCATATAAAGCATTTGCTTTGGAGGAGTTTTTAATGTTACTGCATCACTTGATTCCTCTTCAGTTTTAGTGTGATAAAACATCAAACTCAAGAAAATAAATGATAACTGCTTTTTCTAATATACCACACACCTCATTAGGCTTGTGAAACAGTTTTCCTTTTTTCTCTAGGGCAGCTATAAGAATATTACTTGTTGTTGCTCTTTCTCGTGATAATTGTAAGTAGATAAGAGCCGTATAATTTGACTTGCGG